TCCAGCTCTCTGCTGTGGCCCGGGAGGGCAGTGGAGGATGGCCCAAGTCCTTGGGCCCCTGCCCCTGCATGGGAGACCAGGAGGAAGCACCTGGCTCCTGGCTTTAGATCGGCGCAGCGCTGGCCGTAGCGGCCATTTTGGGGGTGAACCAATGAAAGGAAGACCTTTCTCTCTGTCTCTCTCTCTCTAACTCTTCCTGTTCAAAAAAAAAAAAAAAAAAAAGTCATGGTGGGGCCAAAATTATGGAGCAGTGGGCTATGTTACACCATCAGATGACAGCATTCCATGTTGAGAATTGGTTGGAGTCCTGGCTGCTCTGCTTCTAATCCAGCTCCCTACTAATGCACCTGGGAAAACAGTAGAAGATGGCCCATATTCTTGGGCTCCTGTCACCTACACGGGAGACCAGAATGGAGTTTCAGGCTCCTTGCTTCAGCCTGGCCCAGCCTTAGCTGTTGTGGCCATATGGGGAGGCCTTATTGGGAGGGAATCTATAGATAGAAGATCACTCTGTGTGTGTATCTCTCCCCTCTCTCTGACACTCTGCTTTTCAAATAAATAAAAATAATTCTTAAAAAAAAAAGTCAGGGGCTGGCAATGGTGTGGCAGGTAAAGCTACTGCCTGCAATGCTGGCATCCCATATGGGCACCAGTTCATGTCCTAGCTGCTCCACTTCTGATCCAACTCCCTGCTAATGGCCTGGGAAAAGTAACAGAAGATGGTCCAAGTTATTTGTGCCCCTGCCACCCATGTGGGAGACCTGGATGAAGCTCCTGACTCCTGGCTTCAGCCTAGCCCAGTGCTGGCTATTGTGGCCATCTGGGGAGTGAACCAGCAGATGGAAGATCTCTCTCTCTCTTTCTCTCTCTCTAACTCTGAATTTTAAATAAATAAATAAATAAATTTAAGGAAACAAGTCATCCTTAAGCTGAGCTTCTGGTCTAGCAGTTAAGACACCTATGCCCCATATTGGAACGCATAGGTTTGATACCAACCTGTGGCTCCTGATTCCACTTCCAGACACCAGGAGGCAGTGGTGATGGCTCCAATAATTTGGTCCCGCCACCTAGTGGGAGACCTGGATTGAGTTTCCAGCTCCTGCTTCCTGCCTTTGTTCCCAGCCAGGGAACACTGCAGAGTAAACAAGTGGAGGTATTGTCGGGTATGGGATCCCCAGTTAGGTTTATCCCAAGTTCTCATCCCAGTGTGAAAGACGGAGTCAAAGCAGATGCATAGAAGAGGTGTGCAGAGAAGGAGAAGGAGAAGGAGAAGGAGAAGGAGAAGGAGAAGGAGAAGGAGAAGGAGGAGAGCAGGCTTTACTTAAAAGGGTAGTACACATTCAGACCTAACTGTGAGCAGCTTCTCTCCGTGAGCAGAGTGGCTACTGCCCCTACCAAAGTTCAGGCCGACCCTTTAGGGAGTGGTACCCTGATTGGATATACAAATTGGGCAGAGTTTGGACAGGGCGTCAGTGCAGGCGAAGACCTCTGGGAAGGTGTCATGGCATCTCCAGGTGGAGCCGCAACACACACATGGTCATCATGTTATCTCATTCATGGTAGGTAAGTGAGGCTTAGGTACACGATGGGGAAGTCGGTAGCCAGCCTGCAGCCATGTTGGATTGGCACCGAAGGGGGTGGGGTTTTAGGTGGCACAGGGCTGAAACAAGCAGATGCTGCAGTCTCTCAGCTCCTTGTTCCTCACTAGCCTTCTGCCTAGTGCACATCGTGTGCAATTGCTCTCTCTCAACTTAAAAAGAACCCTACACCTATCTATGCCTTTGACTTCATCCCACTTGCCCTCATACGTGATTTTGCTTGGCAAATTACTTTTTAATATTTCCTTCCTCCCTTTCCACTGGTTCACTTCTCTAAGTCATTCCCCCAAATCCTGACTTGATTCTGTTTACTTTGTACTTTCATTACAAGGTTGTTTCCTCCCTTACCCATCAGAACTGAAAGGCTAGCTGCTAATAGAACTTACTGCACGTTGGCCTCTGCTCCCCGCTAACCTTGAATTCTCAAAGGTCCCCAGTGACATCGTTATTCGATTGTCTCTTTTCTTTGTGCTATCATCCAGGCGCAGACTGTCCGTGATTCACCTCACTGGATGTGACCTGGTTGGGTAGGCAGGAATATTTTTCCTCTAAATAGTACAGAGAAGCCTTTCTGTGACAAAAGAGGTCCATTCTGTGGTTAAAACTAATTGAGTAGGGGCTGGCGCTGTGGCGTAGCAGGTAAAGGTGCTGCCTGCAGGGCTGGCATCCCATATGGGTGCCAGTTCATGTCCCAGCTGCTCCACTTCCAATCCAGCTCTCTGCTGTGGCTTAGGAAAGCAGTAGAAGATGGCCCAAGTCCTTGGGCCCCTGCACCCGCGTCAGAGACTGGGAAGCTGCACCTGGCTCCTGGCTTCAGATCAGTGCAGCTCCAGCCGCTGTGGCCATCTGGGGAGTGAACCGGTGGATGGAAGACTCTCTCTCTCTCTCTCTGCCTGCTGCCTTTCAAATAAATAAATAAATAAATAAATAATTTTCTTTAAAAAAAAAAGTAATTGAGTAGCCACACTCACCACAAATACTCACATCCTTGACTTCTCGCAGCAGCCACCACGACCATCAGCAGCAATGCTCTCCTCCTCACCCTGCGTAAAGCTCTCCTGTCCTCTGGTGTCTCTAACGTGTTTTTCTTCTTCCTTTCATTGCCTCTCCTGTCTCCTACTGAGGCAATCTTACTCTCTTGCTTTACATTGTGCCTGGCTTCCATTATCTCTAATGTGCAGATGGCGTCGAGTCTCTAGACCACAGATCAGCAAAATGCGGCAATGCGTGGGCCAACTCCAAACCACTGCCCATTTTCTCACGTTCTGCGAGCTAAGAACACATTTTTGCATTTCTTAATGACTGAAAGAAATCAAGTAGATCATATTTAATGACAAGCACAAGTAACACAAGACAGGAGCTTCAGCATCCATGCCTAAGGGTCTCTGGGCACAGAGCCACCCCCATTTGTTGCTGTCACACCCGCACTGCCTTCACGCTGCAGGAGCAGAGCTGAGCAGTTGTGACAGAGTGACTTTTGCTCTAAAGTTTCAGATGTATATTGGCCATCTTTACTTCGATGTTCACCGGGTTCTCTGATACACCAAATTCTTCCATTTCATGATTTTTCTCCCTTTGGAGCTTCCTTCCCCAAATCCTCACTCAGCTGTACACTCTGCAGGTCTGTCATGTTTTACTCCTCCAGGCTGCCATTCCCAACATCCGCCGAGTCCCTCTCTCATTAGCTCTGACTTCTGAAACAGCTCTTGCACTGAATCCAGGTTTTTAAATACTGAGAATTCTTCTCGTTAATTTCCTATCATCTTCCCCACTAGTTGCTGTAATAGCCCCTTACCTGGCCATTCTGCTTCCAACTTCCCCAGGTTCACATTCACCCGACGTCGTGTGGTCAGTTACTTGCTGGTGCAGAGAGCAGCACATTCTCCCCCCAAAGCCTCTGCGGCAGCCCAGATTCAGTGTGGTATTCACGGCTCTCTAGGAGCTGGCCTCAAACAGGTTATTTCCTGATGTTTTCCCCCCAAAGAATCCTATGATCCAACCATGGACATAGTCCATTCTTGCCATCCCATGCCTTTTCTCAGACCCTCTTATAATGTCCTCTCCCACCTAAGATGGGGCCAGTGCTGTGGCTTAGCAGGGAAAACCGCTGCCTGCAGTGCTGGCATCCCATATAAGCACAGTTAGAGTTCCGGCTGCTCCACTTCTGATCCAGCTCCCTGCTGATGTACCTGGGAAAGCAGTGGAGGATGGAGCAAGTACTTGGGCCCCTGTACCCACATGGGAGACCCAGAAGAAGTCCTGGATCCTGGCTTTGGCCTGGCCAAGCCCCAGTCACTGCGGTCATTTTTGGAAAGTGAACCAATGGATGGGAGATCTCCCTCTCTCACTCTTTCTCTCCCTCTCTCTTTCTCTCTCCCCCTCTCTCTCCCTCTCTCTCCCTCCCTCCCTCTCTCTTTCTCCCTCTCTCTCTCCCTCCCCCTCCCTTCTTCCTCTCCCCCTCCCCTCCCCTTCCTTTCCCCTCCCCCTCCCCACACTAAACACAATTTGACAAATTTCTTTGCTGCAAGTCTTCTTAGAACCTTAAAAATGCTGACAACAACTCAAATCTGCACAGAGAGAAGAAGAACGAAGAAGAACGAGCAGAAAAGAGAACTAGAACATGAAGCAAGTCCCTAGATCCAACCTTCTATGAACATAATGTGACCACTGGACTTCCTCCTCACATGAGCCTATCAATCACTTTCCATTTTCCCCCATAGCTTGAGCTGAGTTCTCATCATCTGCAATCAAAAGAGCCCTCAGGTGACACATGTCTCTCCCTTAGTGGGCTGTTTGCTCCTTAAGGTTAAGAACTATGTGTATTTTACTTTTCTACTTACTCCAGGGTGGGTATTCAATACATGTTTACTGATTTCACTTGAATGAAATAAAGGCATGGAAATTCTAAATAGATGAGCACTGACTGACTTGCTATCTATGCCGTTTCTACTTTGTAGTATGAGTTGGAAGATAAAGTCAAGATTCAGAGACCTGAAGAACTTGGTGGCAATAATAGAGTTGGGTAAATGCAAGGGATTAAGGGGCAAGGAGCATACTTTGAAAAAATGAACTGGCCATGATGTCAAGCAAATAATTTCAGTTTCCCTAGGAGATCCTATGGCTAAAGAAGGTTGTTTTCTCATTAAAGGCTGACCAAGCAGCAAATAGAAAGACCAGATGACCTGCTGAGACTTGCATAACCTTTGATTCCATGTCCATGAGAACGCACCTTGCATAGAGAGATCAGAATCTTACCTATATTTCTCATCACATGCTTGTAAGGTTCTTTCTGATGTCCATCCAGATTCCCCAACTCCTGTGTCACATCAGCAAAGGTCACTGTCATGTGGAATCCCATACTTTCCTCGGACTCAGGATGACCACATCTGTCCTCCTCCAAGATGTTTAAAAGCTCTTTTATCTTTATTCACATCAGATAAGGAGCTACTAATGGATTTGAGAAGGCAGGATGTTCAATATGTTAAGATGGGCTTAAGTAGGCTTTGGTGTCATAATTCCAGTAAGAGGCTTAAGACGATTTTGCTGGACCTCTTTTCAAATATTAACAAACACTTCAAACAAAGCAGACTGAGGCGGAATACTGACAGAGGTGGAATACTGAACACACATACCTTTTCATAAAGGAATAGTGGAAGGGAGGGAAGGGGCTCAATAAGTCAATCATGGGAACAGCTACAGACATGCACTATTTATGAATTTTTTTTGAAGGCATACACACACACACACACACACACACACACAAGATCTTCCATTTTCCAGCTCACTCGCCAAATGCCCACAACAGCCAGGGCTGGGCCAGGCTAAAGCCAGGAGTTTCCCAGGGTATGCATTAGTAGAAGCTGGGATTGAAGTGGAACTGGTGCTTGTGCCGAGGCACTCCAACATGGGATGTGGTGTCCCAAGAAGCCCCCAGACACTCATTTGCAACTGGAGAAACATACCTGAAATAAGGTGATTAAATTATTCAATTAAACATACACTTGTACACTTACCACAGGATATAGTTGTGTAAGTACCTACTCTAGAACACAGATATGTAAATTTATAGTATTTTGTGATAAAATACATACAGAACTATCTTCAACATTTTCTCTGAGAGAGTGTAAAAACACCCATGCGTTTATAATCAAGAAATACTGCAAGTATAATCTGCAGAGACTCCTGAAGTTGGTAGTTTCACTCCACTAAAACGAAATTTAAACAGGAAATGGACAATTTGCTCCAAGAACACATTACAACTGTCAGAAAGAGATGATAGGCCACTGATTACCTGGCTCAAAATGTTTCATACCAGAAAACCACATCACTTTTCCTACAGGTGATAAAGGAGAATAAAGAAAATGCCCTTTAGGTTCCTAATAATTTAAAAAATGTGGGAGAGCACCTTGGTTAGGCAGGCACAACCCCTGGAGAAGTAACACTAAATACTGACCATTACTACTTATTAAAGGCGAGAAGTCCCGATAAAGGAGAGTGTAGAACTGCAACCCAAGAAGGCAGGCTTTCCTCTCAATTATTAGCAACATGACCTGCAGCAAATCCCTTCAACTTCTCTGTGAGTCACTTATCTGTACAATGAGGGAGTCGGATTATGGCCTTCAAGGATTCTATTCTGAATCTCTCTCTTTTTCACAAGCATAAAAGGCTTGAAATTGTGGGGCTGGGGTTGTGGCAAAGCAGGTTAAACAACTGCTGGTGACGCCGGTAATGCACCTGGGAAAGCAGCGGACGATGGCCCAAGCACTGGGCCCCTGCCACCCCCGGGATGGAGTTCCAGGCTCCTGGCTTCTGCCTGGCCCAGCCAAGGTCTCCGCGGCAAGGACTTTAAGGCTCCGGGGCTGGGGACGCTGCCGTCCCCCTCGCGGCCCACTCTGCAGCCCGCAGGGCGCGGGCCAGGGCTGCAGATCTGACAGTCGGCTCAGGCAGCTCCAGCGCGGACCTGGGCCTCCTTCCATCCCAGTACCCTCCAGGTCTGGCAGCTCGCCCCGGCGTCTCCTCCCGAGACCACCACCGACTCCTGTCCGGCGGGGAGAGTCCACAGAGACGGCGGAGGCCAGGGAGCCTCCGCGGGCGAGGTCCTTCCACAGCAAGACCAGAACCTGCCATCTCTCCCCGCGGCGGCCGTCGCCATGGAGACACGCAGGGCATTCTGGGAGCACGGCTCGGACTTGGCTCCCACAGCGCCACCTGCAGGCGGGAGGAGCCAAGAACTGCGGCGCGCGCGCACCGGCGCGCTTCCCCGGACCCGCGCGTACCGGAACGCGAGCTGCCCCAGGCTGTCAACGGCTGGGACCCCTTCCTCCTTTGGGGGCTATACGGGACTGAATCTGAAATCGATCTGTAGGGAAGCGAGGGCGCTGGATCATGTAGAGTGTCGCCTTTTTCTGCCTCGCTTCAAAATGGCACTGGTGTGTCGTTTCCCATTAGGTCACTGCTGCGTGCATCTCTCTGCCACCCACCGTTGGGATTCTACGTTTCGGGAAAGACTCGGGCTATCTGTGGCGCAGAGCAGCACCTCCGGCTTCCCCATGAGGAGCTGGCGGGAGAGGTGTGAGAAAATTCTTCCTGCAGCGACTGCTTGACAAAGGCTGGAGGTGTCACTGGCCTTGGGAAAACTCACAAAATCAGAAACGCCGATTCGCTCTGATCGGGAGGGAAGCCGCTGCCGCCCAGCCTGCTTCCGTGCCTCCGTCGGTTCACATGTGCTGTGTAACCGTGACCATTTTCCTTAAACTTCCGTCTCCCTTCACACCACGCGTTGTTTCTCTTCTACTTTACCCCGCTCCAACATGCGGCCACTCACTCCCTAGGCCTGTGACTTCACACGAGATGTTTGGTTTTTCCTGACCTCTTTCCCTTGTGCTCTTTCATGGTTTGAAAACTGCCTTTTTTTTTTTTTTCCTTCTGCAACAAACCAACTCATTTAGGTGACTGCTGGTTTGGTTTCTTGGAGCACTTGGTGTTCATCCATAAAACCTGCATTTCCTCGACTTCCCATGAAGTACTGCTTCTGTCAGGAAGCCAGAAGCCAGTCCCAGCAAGTCCTCCATCAGCTGAGACTGGGCATGAGACTTATACCGTGGGTTTTGTTTCCTTCTCTGAGATATTAGACATTGGATTAAAAACTTTCAGGTCCTTAGAGTTCTAAAATAATGTAGAATTTTAAGTTATTCTATGTATTTTTAATAACTTTTAAAATATTATCATTTGAAAGGCAGAAAGACACTGAGATCTTCCACCTGCTGGCTTACTTCCCAAATGCCTGCAATAGCTTGGGCTGGGCCAGGCTAAAGCTGAGAGCCTGGAACTCAGTCTGGGTCTCCTGTGGGGTGGCTGGGACCCAAAGACTTGAGCCATCACCTGCTGCCTCCCAGGGTCCATATCAGCAGGAAGCTAGGACAGGAGCTAGAGCCAAGTATCAAGTCAGGATAGTCAAATATGGGGTCTGCACGTTCTAACTGGCATCCTAACTGGAACTCCTCGCCACATGCCCACCCCCAATTTTATATAAATGCATAAAAGGTAATCATACCTGGGTTTTTGTGTGTGTGCACCATTCTCCCCTTTATTTGCTTGATTTTTCTTCCACTCTCTCCCTCTTCACATACTTATGTCATATATACACGTATATGATTAAGATATGTATGTATGTAGTCTTAAACATTAAAGGGAATACAGGATCAAAACCTCAGGAGAAGGAGGGGCAAAGCACCAGAATTTGTACAATTCACTTTTTTCTACTTTCTTATTTTCTATTTGTTGGATCTTCTGTGCTACTTTCTGGAGATTTCTTTGACTAATCTACCATGAAATTCAAAAATCTTATTAAACAACCCATTTTTCTTAACATGTTAGGGTTGTTTCCAGAAGCTTCCTTTTCCATAAAGTTATATTCTTGTTTCATAATAACAGCGTCTTCTCTAATTTTTCTGAGTATGCATGTTTTTAAATTTTTGTTTTTATTCCCTAAATTATATGATTCATCCAATTTTTTTTTCTTATCTTGGTCTTCCTCTTTTATGTAGAAGTTTTTCTTCAAATGCTTTATAAACTTTGTCTAAGAATGCAGCAACAGACAATTAGGATCTTTATGTAATTTTCCATGGAACTCTCTTCTTGCAGAATATTTTTGGAGCCTTTGTCCCAGGGAATTTAATTTGTGTAACACTGTTTTATAGTAATGTCATTTACATTTACCTGTAATTTCATTTTCTGTCACCCCTCAGAATTTCGTAAGCCATTTTTAAAAATTAATTTTTTAAAAAATTATTTATTTGAAAGGTAGAGACAGAGTGACAAAGAGATCTTCCATAGGCTGGTTCACTCCTCAGATGGCCACAGCAGGCAGGCCTGGGCCAGGCTGAAGCTGGGAGCTCAGAACTCTATCCCAGTCTCCTACATGGGTGGCAGCAACCCAAGTACTGCTGCCTCCCTGGGCGCATATAAGCAGGCAGCTGGAAATGGAGGCTGGGGAAAGACTTGAACTAAGACATTGGATTTTTTTTTTTTTTAATTTAACAGGTAGAGTTACAGACAGTGAGAGAGAGAAAGGTCTTCCTTCCGTTGGTTCACTCCCCAAATGGCCACTATGGCTGGCGCTGCGCCGATCCAAAGCCAGGAGCCAGGTGCTTCCTCCTGGTCTCCCATGCAGGTGCAGGGCCCAGACACTTGGGCAATCCTCCACTGCCCTCCCGGGCCACAGCAGAGAGCTGGACTGGAAAAGGAGCAACCGGGACTAGAACCCAGCACCCATATGGGATGCCAGCGCCTCAGGCGGAGGATTAACCCACTGAGCCATAGCACTGGCCCCCCAAGTATCATCTTAACCACTGTGCCAAATGCCTCCCTGTCAGCCATCTCCTACCTGACCATAAACCCTCTGAAAAGCAGGAATTGTGTGTATACAGTATATTCTGTCCCTGAAGTATACCTATTCGGTGTCCATACAACTTCCATCTAGTGTAACAAATAGGAAAGACCCCATCTCTTCCCTGCAATTCCACGTTTATGTGGGACTTCAAAAAGTTCATGCAGGGGGCCAGAGATGGCCCTGCCACCCACATGGGAGACTCAGAAGAAAGTCTTGGCTCCTGGCTTCAGCCTGGCACAGCCCCAGCCACTGTGGCCATCTGGGGAGCGAACCAGCAGGTGAAAGACTTCTTTGTCTCTCCCTCTCTCGCTAACTCCAACTTTCAAATAAATAAAAATCTTTGGGGAAAAAAATTCATGGAAAACTGAATGAACAGGTAAGTTTAGGGCATGCACTGGGGTACTACTGGTTGGGATGCCTGCATACCATATTGGAGTGACTGGTGAGTACTGAGCACCCCGCTTCTGATCCAACTTTCCTGCTAATGTGCCTGGGAGGCAGTGGATAAAGACCAAAGGACTTGGGTCAGTACACCCAGGTGGGAGTTCCTGGCTGGCTATCCCAGCTGTGGCAGGCACTCAAGGAGTGAGCTAGTGGATGGAAGAGCTCAGAGCTCTCTGTCTTTCCCTCTGTGTAGCAAAAAAAAAAAGTGAAATCCATGCAGTGTTTTTCATCACATGCCTTTATCACGAAGTGTTGAAGACCTCTTGCGCTGCCTTGATGGCGCGCTCTGCCTCAGCTCCAATCAGCTTCTATCATTGCAAACAGCTGGCTAAGCCTTTTCTTAACGTCAGGCCGGTCCTGAGCACGGCAGGATTTGGCGTGCACGCGGACGTGCTCGGCGAGTTTAGACTTATAGATGAAGCCCTTCCCGCAGTCGCCGCAGGCAAAGGGCCTCTCGGGCCGGTGGATGCGCTGGTGCCTCAGCATATGTCCCCTTTCCCGGAAGGCCTTGTCACACTCGGGGCAGTGGAAGGGCCTCTCCCCGCTGTGCAGGCCCTGGTGGCTAAGCAGCTGGGCCTTCAGGCGGAAACTCTTGTCACACTGGGCACACTGGAAGGGCTTCTCCCCCGTGTGCGTCCTGACGTGCTCGACGAGCTTGGACTGCTTCGCGAAGCCCTTGCCACACTGGCAGGAGAAGGGCATCGCGCCGCCGTGCAGCAGCTGGTGGGCTCTCATGTCGGCTTTCACGCGGTAGCGCTTGTCGCAGTCCGGGCACTGGAAGGGTCTCTCCCCCGTGTGCAGGCGCTGGTGGCTGCGCAGCTGCCCTTTCAGGCGGAAGCTCCTGCCGCACTCCGCGCAGCCGAAGGGCCGCTCCCCACTGTGCACGCGGAAGTGCTCCGTGAGCTTGGACTGCCTGGTGAAGCCCTTGCCGCACTCCCCGCAGGAGAAGGGCCGCTCCTGGCTGTGGGTGCGCTGGTGCGCCTGGAGGATGCCCTTCAGCCGGAAGCTCTTGCCGCAGTCCGGGCACGGGAAGGGCCTCTCCCCGCTGTGCACCCGCAGGTGCTCGCGCAGCTTGCACTGGTGGCTGAAGCCGCGGCCGCACTCGCCGCACGAGAACGGCCGCTCTCCGCCGTGTCGCAGCCGGTGGGCTCGCAACAGGCTCTGCAGGCGGAAGCTCCGGCCGCACTCCGGGCACGGGAAGGGCTTCTCCTCCGTGTGCAGCCGCTGGTGCCGCCGCAGCTGCGCCGTCTGACGGAAGCTCCGGCCGCACTCGGCGCACCGGAGAGGCTTCTCTCCGCTGTGGGCTCGGTCGTGCTCGGCGAGCTTGCGCTGTTTGGGGAAGCCCGGGCCACACTTCCCGCGGGAGGCCGGTCTCTCCCCGCCGGGGCCGCTGGGGCCCGGGAAGGGCCTTTCTCCTGCGTGCACCCCCAGGCAGTTGGCAAGCTTGGACCTTGTGGGGAGGCACCTGCCGCCCGCGGCGCCGGGGCAGGGCCGCGGAGCCTCTGCGTCGCCCCGGGGCTGGCGGGGGCCTGGCTTCTGCCCTGACTGCACGCCGGGGAAGGCCCTGCGGCCTCGCCTCCAGGAGCCGGGCGTCTCTCTGCCAGGCTGGCACTGGAGAGCCTGCGTGCTGCTCATCGGCGGAAAGCCCGGGCTGCATTTGGGATGCTGGGAAGGCTTCTCCCCTTTGTGCGTGAGGTGGTGGGCGAGGGGGCCCCGCCTGTGGCAGAAACACATCTCACACTTCCCCGTGAGGGCAGTCAGCTGCCTCGGCAAGTACTGCTTCCGGCGGAAGGCCTGTCCGCACTCCCGACCCGGGCAGTGCCTCCCTGCCCCGGGGACGCCGTCCTGTTCCTGCCGGGCACCAGCTCTGCGGCTGACCTTGCAGGCTTTCTGCGGCAGGTCCTGGGGGCGGCTCCTCTGCTGCTTTCCCAAGCGGCCCTTCCAGAAATTCTCCCCACGGTCAGGGCAGGGGTGCTGGGGGCTCTCCCGCGAGGGGACACTCGGAGCTCTGTGCCTTGGGATTCCCTCTCTGTAGGGAGATTCGCTGCAGCCAAGGCCTACTGCATTAGGAGCCCTGGGGCTGCGTCCCTGTGGGTTCTTGGTCTCCGTCTCCGTCTCCGTCTCCGTCTCCGTCTCCGTGAGGTCTTGGTCAGGCCTAAAGGAAACAGCTTCCCTGCCTCCTAAAGAGAGTCCAGAGGAATGCTGGCTCCGAAGAGTGCCTGCCTGGAAATGGCATTTAGTTTCTCCTGAGCTCACCGGTTGCTGGCTTCCTGAAACTGAAGACAAAAATTCAGTCAGTTCTCCTGTTGATGGCATGGCACATGACTGTTACCGGTAACGTGATGTGTAACAGTAACTGGGGGTAGCCTGGGAACCATGCTGCCAATGAGCCACACAACCACATAGTGTGGTTCTATTTCACAACCAAAATGAGTCTGATGATGGTCTGGGTAACTAAACCGAATAAACTGATCTTTTTAAAAATTTATTTGAGAGACAGAGAAAGCTCCTATCTACTGGTTTATTCCCCAAATGCTGACAATAGTGGATCTGAGCCAGGCTGAAGCCAGGAGTCAAGAATTCAAACCAGGTCTCCCATGTGGGTGGCAGGAACCCAATTACTCTGGGCCATCACTGCTGCCTCCCAGGGCCTGCGTTAGCAGAAAGCGAGAGTCAGGCGCGAGAGCTGGGACTCAAACCCAGGTACTCTGATATTGGATATAGGCATCTAACCTGTGTCGTACCAGCTAAGCTAAATGCCCATCCCTGAACAGATGTGTCCTATATTAAATAATACTGAAGAGGAAAATACAGGTCACAAAGGTACGATCTAAGCTTCGGAATTAGACTGCCTGGGTTTAAATCCCATTTGTCCACTGCACAATGTCTGCCAAGTTAATCTCTTTTTGCTTTATCTCCTTCTATAAGAGCAGAGAAACAAAGTACATATGACTGGAGTGAGTTACATGAAGCTAACATGCATGAGGTTCTTAGCATGTTCCAGCATGTTGCATATACTCTTAAATGCTGAACACCACTATGACTTCAGGTATACGTGACTTACCTGATGTTGATGTCTAGACATACCTGGAGCCCCAAGACGTTGATGGCAGTTAAGTTCCTAACAGAGACCCTGACTAATACCACAGTTTATACCATCCATGAGCTGTCCTAAGAACAGACAGCAAGACTACGGGCCAGCACTGTGGTGTAGCAGGTAAGGCAGTACTGGCATCCCATATGGTCACCTGTTTGAGTCCTGGCTGCTCCACTTCCCATCCAGCTCTCTGCTATGGCCTGGGAAAGCAGTAGGAGATGACTCAAGTCCTTGGGCCCCTGCACCCATGTGGGAGACCTAGAAGAAGCTCCTGGCTTCTCGCTTCGGATAGGCCCAGCTCCAGCTGTTACAGCCATCTGGGGAATGAACCAGCGGATGGAAGATTTTTCTCTCTTTCTGCCTCTGCCTCTCTGTAACTCTGCCTTTCAAATAAATAAATTAATAAAAAAAAAAGACTAGGCCTACTTTGGCTCTTTTCCTTACTACTAAGATAGCTTCTAGCACTGGGCTCTTGCTATGTGCCAGAGATCATTTTAACACTACATACATTACTCATTTAATCTTAAAACTTAAGTACTTTCATTATCTTAATTTTATAGATCAAGAACTGAAATACTCAATGGTTCAGTAACTTGATTAAGGTTACCCAGAAAAGAGAAGATAAGATCAGAAAAGAGAAACCATGAAGTCTGAATATATGCTATCTTAAGACCATATATTTCTTAATACTCACCCCAAAACAACTGTTCCTCAACAGCTGGATCAAAATGTGTATCAGCAGAGGAGCAAATTATGTTTCTTGGTTTCTGTGATTCTGTGCAACTCCCGAACTCTCCTTGCTGTTCAATCCAGGTTATTAGTTCTGGCTTGGGAAGTCCACCATCTGCACAGAAAAGTCAGGCAGGGTAGTTTGGCTTACTTGAACACTCAAAGTTTCTAAATGCTCACTGCTGGGACAATATATGAGGAGAGATGAAAAAAAAAAATAGGTTCTAGACTTGCACAAAGAGGACCAAGCTGCCCCCTCATCCTAACAGTGTTTCCCAGCCTATCTGGACTTGTTATTTTAATTTTGTCATGCCCCCATGTATCTACAATGCCGTATTTTGTCCAAAAACAAAATGGCAAATATCGTTCAAAATTTATTTGAGAGACAAGAGTTCCCATCCACTGGTTTACTACCCAAATGCCTCCCATTGCCATGGCTAGACTGGGGCTGAAGCCAGAAGCTGGGAACTTAATCGAAGTCTCCTACATGGGTAGCAGGGCCCCAACTATTTGAATCATCACCTGGTGTCTCCTAGGGTGTGCATTAGCAGGAAGCTGGATTCTAGAGCCAGAGCCAGAAATCTAACCCAGGAATCCTGATATGGGAAACAGTGTCCTTTTTTTTTTTTTTAAATTTTCAATTAGTTTTTGAAGGATTCAACGTGCTTTATAGATACAATTCGAAGAACATAATGCTATTTCCTTCCCCCTCCCCTCCCCTCCCTCCCTCCCTCCCTCTCCTTCTCTCCCTCCCACTCTCCTCCTCCTGTTTTTTTATGAAATAACATATTTTGAATTTACATTATAGTAAAAAGGATTAATACTGGGGCCAATGCTGTGGCATGGCAGGTGGGGCCACTGCCTGCAGTGCCGGCATCCCATATGGGTGCCAGTTTGAGTCCCGGCTGCTCCACTTCTCATCCAGGTCTCTGCTGTGGCCTGGGAGGACAGAGGAGGATGGCCAAGTCCTTGGGCCCCTGCACCCACGTGGGAGACCCGGAGGAAGCTCCTGGCTCCTGATTTCAGATCGGCACAGCTCCGGCCATTGCAGCCATCTGGGGAGTGAACCAGCAGACGGAGGACCTCTTCTCTCTCTCTCTCTGTAATTCTGACTTTCAAATAAATAAATAATCTAAAAAAAAAAGGCTTAATACTTCACTGAATAAGAAGTTTAACAAGTAAAAGGCAAAAAAAAAAGCCTAGTTTAGTGGGAATATAGACAACAGCCATAAACAATGAATGAGAAAATGACCATTTCACCCATTTACAGTAAATTTTGAAGTAATCACAGATCATTAAGACTATACTAGTATAATATTCTTAACCATTAGTTTCATAAAGGTATAAAACAAAGCTTTACAAAGTTATATTTAAAGCAATACTGATTCACGCAGACATTTCTTACTTTTTTTTTTTTTTAAATTTTAGCTCCCATATATAAGGGAGAACATGTGGTATTTCTTTCTGGGTCTGGCTATTTCACTTAATATGATATCCTCCAGTTGCATCTATCTTGCTGCAAATAGCTAGAATTTCATTCTTTTTTGTCCTGTTTTATTTTTTTAATTTTTTTTTTTTTTTTTTTTTTTTTTTTTTTGACAGGCAGAGTGGACAGTGAGAGAGAGAGACAGAGAGAGAAAGGTCTTCCTTTTGCCGTTGGTTCACCCTCCAATGGCCGCCGCTGCAGCCGGCGCACCGCGCTGATCCTGGCAGGAGCCAGGAGCCAGGTGCTTTTCCTGGTCTCCCATGGGGTGCAGGGCCCAAGCACCTGGGCCATCCTCCACTGCACTCCCTGGCCATAGCAGAGAGCTGGCCTGGAAGAGGGGCAACCGGGACAGAATCCGGCGCCCCAACCGGGACTAGAACCCGGTGTGCCGGCGCCGCAAGGTGGAGGATTAGCCTATTGAGCCACGGCGCCGGCTTGTCCTGTTTTATTTTTAAGATTTATTTATTTATTTGAAAGTCAGAGTTACAGAGAGAGAGGTAGAGACAGAGAGAGAGGTCTTCCATCCGATGGTTCACTCCCCAGATGGCCGCAGCCTATCCGAAACCAAGAGCCAGGAGCTTCTTCCGGGTCTCCCATGTGGGTGCAGGGGCCCAAGGACTTGGGCCATCTTCTACTGCTTTTGCAGGCCACAGCAGAGAGCTGGATCAGAAGAGGAGCAGCCAGGATTAAAATTGGCGCCCATATGGGATGCCGGCACTTCAGGCCAGGGCGTTAACCCACTGTGCCACAGCACCAGCCTGATTTTCATTATTTTTTTTTTTTTTTGGTTGAATAACATTCTATTGTGTATATATACCATATTGTCTTTTTTTCTTTTTTTTTTTTTTTCTTTGACAGGCAGAGTGGACAGTGAGAGAGAGAGAGAGAGAAAGGTCTTCCTTTTGCCGTTGATTCATCCTCCAATGGCCGCTGCGGCCGGCGCACCACGCTGATCCGATGGCAGGAGCCAGGTACTTATCCTGGTCTCCCATGCGGGTGCAGGGCCCAAATACTTGGGCCATCCTCCACTGCACTCCCGGGTCACAGCAGAGAGCTGGCCTGGAAGAGGGGCAACCGGGACAGAATCCAGTGCCCCAACCAGGACTAGAACCCGGGGTGCCGGCGCCGCAAGGCAGAGGATTAGCCTATTGATCCGTGGCGCCGGCCTACCATATTGTCTTAATCCATTCATCTGATGATGGACACCTTAGTTGATTCTAAATTTTGGCTGTTGTCAACAGTGCTGCTATAAACATGGGGGTGCAGGCATCTCTTTGATACACTGTGTTCAAGCCTTTAGGGTATATACCCAGTAGTAGAATTGCTGGATCATATGGCAAGTCTATTTCCATTTTTTTTTTTATTACATCTAGGCTCTTTTTTTAAAGATTTATTTGTTTTCAAAGATTTATTTATTTATTTGGAAGGCAGAGTTACAATGCGAGGCAGAGGCAGAGGCAGAGGTAGAGGCAGAGAGAGGAGAGAGAGAATCTATCATCTGCTGGTGACTTCCCAGATGGCCACAATGGCAGGAGCTGGGCTGATCTGAAGCCAGGAGGCAAGAGCTTTTTCCAGGTCTCCCATACAGGTGCAGGGACCCAATGACTTGGGACATCTTCTACTGCTTTTGCAGGTCATAGCAGAGAGCTGGATCGGAAGTGGAGCAGCCAGGACTTGAACTAGTGCCCACATGGGATGCTGGCACTGCAGGTGGCGGCTTTTACTCACTGCACCACAGCACCAGCTCCTATTTCTAGTTTTTTTTTTTTTTTTTTTTTTTTTTTTAAGAAATTGCCACACTGTTTTCCACAGTGGCTGCACTACTTTACATTCCCACCAACAGTGTGTAAGTGTTCTCCTTTGTCCACATCATTGCCAGCATTTGTCCCTCTCTGTATTTTGGATTTCAGCTGCTCTGACAGAGGTGAGGTAATATCTCATTGTGATTTTCATGTGCATTTCTCTGACGGCTAGTTATATTGAGCATTTTTCATGTATTTGTTGGCCATTTCTATTTCTTCTTTTGAGAACTGTCTAGTGAAGTCCTTTACCTATTTCTCAACTGGATTGGTTTTTGTTGTTGTTTTTTAACTTGCTGATATAGTCAGGATATTAATCTTTTGTCAGATCGGTGATTTGCAAATATTTTTTCCCATTTTGCTGGATGTCTCTTCACCCTATTGATCATTTCCTTTGCTGTGCAAGAGCTTCTAAGCTTGACATAGTCCCATTTATTTGGTTTTGCTTTTGTTGCCTGTGTTTTGCTTTTGTTGCCTATCCAAAAGTCATCCATACACCAACTTCTTGGAGTGTTTCCCCTACATTTTCTTCGAGCAACCGCACAGTCTGACGTCTTAAATTTAAGTCTTTGATCCATCTTGAGTTGATTTTTGTATATGGTGGGAGGTATGGATCTAATTTCATTCCTCAACATATATAAATCCAGTTTTGCCAGCACCATTTGTTGAAAAGACTATCCTTATTCCACTGTATGGTTTGAGTACTTCTGTCAAAAACCAGCGGACTGTGTGTACATGGGTTAATTTCTGGGCTGTCTATTCTGTTTTCCACTGATCTATGTACCAGTTCTTATGTAGTACTATGCTGTTTTAATTACTTTAGCTTTGTTGTAAGCTTTGAAGTCAGGTATTGCAACATCTCCAGCTTGCTTTTTCTTATTCAGAATCACTTTGGCTATTCTGGCTGTTTTCTTATTCATACAAATTTTAGAATTGCTTTTACTAGGGGCCAGTGCTGTGTTGTAGCGGGGTAAAGCCTCCACCTGCAGTGCTGGCATCCCATATGGGTGCCAGTGTGAGTCCCGGCTGCTCCACTTCCGATCCAGGTCTCTGCTATGGCCTGGGAAAGCAGTAGAGGATGGCCCAAGTGTTTGGGCCTCTGCACCTGCATAGGAGACCTAGAAGAAGCTCCTGATTCCTGGCTTTGGATTGGTCCAGCTCTGGCCATTGCAGCCATCTGGGGAGTGAACCAGCAGATGGAAGATATTCTCTCTCTCTCTCTTTCTCTGCCTCTCTGTAACTCTGGCTTTCAAATAAATAAATAAGGCCGGCGCCGCGGCTCAATAGGCTAATCCTCCACCTGTGGTGCCGGCACACCAGGTTCTAGTCCCAGTTGGGGCACTGGATTCTGTCCTGGTTGCTCCTCTTCCAGTCCATCTCTCTGCTGCGGCCCAGGAAGGCAGTGGAAGATGGCCCAAGTCCTTGGGCCCTGCACCCACATGGGAGACCAGGAGAAGCACCTGGCTCCTGGCTTCAGATCAGCGCAGTGCACCGGCCGCGGCGCGCTGGCCATAGTGGCCATTGGAGGGTGAACCAACAGTAAAGGAAGACCTTTCTCTCTGTTTCTCTCTCACTGTCCACTCTGCCTGTCAAAAATAAATAAATAAAAATAAAAAACAAATAAATACATCTTTTTTTTTACAAAAGAATTGCTTTTTCTAGTTATATAAATAATGTCATTGGTATTTTGATAGGGATTGCACTGAATCTGTAGATTGCTTTAGGTAGTACAGACATTTTAATGATATTGATTCTTCCAATCCATGAGCAAAGAATGTCTCCATTTTTGGGGGACACAGAGTTCTTTAAAAAATTATTTATTTGAAAGGCAAAGTTACAGAGGCAGAGGCAGAGAAAGAGGGCTTCCATCCACTGGTTCACTCCCCAAATGGCTGCAACGGCTGGAGCAGGGCCAATCCAAAGCCAGGAACTAGGAGCTTCTTCCGGGTCTCCCACGCGGGTGGCAGGGTCCCAAGGCCCTGGGCCATCTTCTACTGCTTTCCCAGGCCATAGCAGAGAGCTGGATGGGAAGTGGAGCAGCCGGGACTCAAACTGACACACGAATGGTATTCCAGCACTGCTGGTGGCGGCTTTAACAGATATGTCACAGTGCCAGCCCCAAGGAACACAAGTTTCTTAACCAGCACCTTAACTGCTAAGCCAGATTCCTATCCTGAAAATATTCTTAATAATAGCTGAATCTTAAGTGTTCAATGTTGAAGCAAGTCAGCTGAGGCCAAAATTCCATCAAAAAGGGTTTCAAAAAATAACGCTTTTTTATTAAAAATATTTTTATGGAAAAGTAAAGAGAACAATAAACAAAAAGCTGGGTGTCATCTAACTTTGTCAGCTCTTACCATGCTGACATATGTACTTGCTTTAGATTTTAAAAGATGGGCAACGTTACACAATTTAAGCCCCAGTGTGTCCCTCTCCAGAGGTAGGCATTACCCTGAATCGGCATTTATCATTTCTGTGTATGTTGTTATTTTTAAATGCAAACATAAATACATATTTTTAAAGATTTATTTTATTTATTTGAAAGGCGGAGTTAGAGAGAGAGGCAGGGAGATAGAGAGACAGAGGAAATAAAAATATTTATTGCTGGTTTATTTATTTATTTATCTTTAAGACTTATATATTTGAAAGGCAGAGTTACAGAGAGGCAGAGGCAGAGAGAGAGATATCTTCCATCCGCTGGTTCACTCCCCAAATGGCCACAACAGTCAGAGCCAGGCCAATCTGAAGCCAGGAGCCCGGAGCTTCTTCTGGGTCTCCCATGTGCATGCAGGAGCCCGAGCACTTGGGCCATCTTCTACTGCCTTCCCAGGCCATAGCAGAGAGCTGGATCGGAAGAGGAGCAGGTAGGACTAGAACCGGCGCCCATATGGGATGCCAGCACTGCAAGCAGTGGCTTTACCAGCTATGCTATGCCATCAGCCCCTACTGCTGGTTTTAAATTTCATATAAATCAGCCGGCGCCGTGGCTCAATAGGCTAATCCTCCACCTTGCGGCGCCGGCACACCGGGTTCTAGTCCCGGTTGGGGCGCCGGATTCTGTCCCGGTTGCCCCTCTTCCAGGCCAGCTCTCTGCTATGGCCAGGGAGTGCAGTGGAGGATGGCCCAGGTGCTTGGGCCCTGCACCCCATGGGAGACCAGGAAAAGCACCTGGCTCCTGGCTCCTGCCAGGATCAGCGCGGTGCGCCGGCTGCAGCGGCGGCCATTGGAGGGTGAACCAACGGCAAAGGAAGACCTTTCTCTCTCTGTCTCTCTCTCTCACTGTCCACTCTGCCTGTCAAAAAAAAAAAAAAAAAAAAAAAAAAAAAAAAAAATTTCATATAAATCATACCGTCACTCTGTATCTTACTTTTTCCCTCAAATTATGTTTTAAAAATTCCTTCACTTTGAAACAACTTGCGTTGATTCACTCATTACCATCTAATACATGACTGTCTCACAATCTGTCTTGTCTGTTCAGTCTACCGGCTCGCCTCTGTGAGAACACACAAGCCTTGCCATTCCTCAGGCTGAACTGCTGCATACACGTCTTCAGCTTTACTGCATGCTAGCGAATTGCTCTCACAGTCACTGTGCTGATTTGCAATCTCAATAGCACAGCAGGAGTGTTAACTTTGCTCAACGACTCGTGGTGCTAGCAGCTATTTCTGTATCTCTAACACAGTACCACATAATAAATCTTGCTATCCAAAAAAAAAAAAAAAAAATTTCACCTCCCATCTTGTTCCAAAAAATTGTCTTGGCCCTTTGTTCTTTCATGTTCTTTATGATCAGCTGATATTCCATGATATCCCTGCTGGGATTTCAGCTGGAATTGCTTTGAAGGGATAGACTGATTCAGGGGGAACTGACAGAAGCGGGAATGGTCCATGTAACTGACTGTACGATTAAGAGGATACAAGGACCGGTGTCATGGCGTAGGGGGTTAAGCCACTGCCTGTGATGCTGGCATCCCGTATGGGCACTTGTTCATGTTCCAACTGCTCCACTTCCAATCCAGCTCCTTGCTAATGGCCTAGGAAAAGCAGCAGAAGATGGCCCAAGTGTTTGGGCCCTTGCCATCCACATGGAATACCTGGATGAAGCTCCTGGTTTCTGGCTTTGGCTTGGCACAGCGCTGGTCATAGTGTCTATCTGGTGAGTGAACCGGTGGATGTATGGGACATCTCTCTCTCTCTCTCTGTCTGTCTCCGTCTCTGTCTCTATCTTTCCCTCTGTCTCTGTAACTTTCAAAATAAAATATATAAATATATAAATCTTAAAGAATCCAAGAAAAAATCCAAATCTAAAAAAGCCACGGCCTAATAGTGAAGGAAATTAAAATGAAGCATGATACCAATTAACTCGTGTGTATGAAAAAAAAGAACCCACTTGATCTTGGTGCTTGAATATTCTTTATGGGTGGCACAGAGTTCATGACATGGAATTATATTTCTTTCTCTATAGGTTAAATTACTTTACCTGATTCTCCAGTCACAATGTAATGTCTTGGGCTATATGTTTTAGAAACAATCCATAGACAGAGTCTAGAAAACTTAACTATGGTAACAGAACAGAATGTAAGTTTTAGAAACCTTGCAACATAAAGGAAGCCGTATGCTGCGTTAAACTTGCAGTACATGTGAAGGGAAGTACGGAGAACCAATTACTTTATACACTGAAAAGGTTCAAAGATAAAGTTGATGGAACGTGATCTATAATTTGCTCAAATATTTTAAATTATAAACCTAACCAACAGAGGCACACAAAAACTATGAAAAACTGGGGGGAAAGGGGAAAAGGAAATAGAAGGGGGATAGGGGATAGTATAACTGAGCTAATACTTCATTTCTCCTAGGAACCGATTCATGCTGTCTACACTCAACATGAAGAAACAGAGGTATAGGCATGATATTTAGGTTGGGGGAAACCACAGTGAGAACAGAAATGGTTACAAGTGGTCGCCTCTTTTAAAAATGATGCAGGAGAGTGTGTCTTTCATTTGATGCTTCTCTGAATATTTTCTTTTTTATTCTATTTATTTATTAATTTTTTGACAGGCAGAGTTAGACAGCGAGAGAGTGAGACAGAGAGAAAGGTCTTCCTTCCGTTGGTTCACCCCCCAGATGGCCGCTACGGCTGATGTGCTGCGCCGATCCGAAGCCAGGAGCCAGGTGCTTCTCCTGGTCTCCCATGGGGCGCAGGGCCCAAGCACCTGGGCCATCCTCCACTGCACTCCCGGGCCACAGCAGAGAGCTGGCCTGGAAGAGGGGCAACTGGGACAGAATCCGGCGTCCCAACCAGGACTAGAACCTGGGGCGCCGGTGCCGCAGGCGGAGGATTAGCCTAGTGAGCCGCGGCGCTGGCCCGGAGACAGCTTCTTCTAAGCAGCTCAGTGTACAGCTGCCAGACACCACTGCAGGTGGGAACACCACGAGCCTTCCCGAAGCAGCTAGACCCACTGCACAGGTGTGAGGCAGGGCCAGGCTTAGGTTAGTGACCCTTAGGTTAGGGCCCTCCTGAGTTAATTGCTGTGCAGTCCTGCTACCTGACAAACAGAGGCATTCAATGAGAGACCCCTTACTGGAACCAGCCCACGACATACCCACGAAATCCTACATTTCTTACCTAGAGAGGCGAGCGTCTCGTAATTGGTTCTCATTACGTGTCCATAAAGCTCCCTCTGCCAGGCCTCCAGACTCTGCCATTCCTGCTCCGAGAAGTAAATGGCAACATCCTCGAAAGTCAGAGGCAACTGAAAGGACAGGGACACAGTCACGGCCGCTCCATGACCTTGACTCCTGTGGCTCTGCTGCTCACCACTACAGCCCCTCTACGTCTTCGTGCTTCTCTGAACTACTTGCGCTGGTGTACACATGTGACTGATGTATGTGTGGAATGAAACTCTTTACAAAGATGTGAACAAATCACTGTGAGACTTCATTCAGTTCAAATATGTCATGGCTATCTTTCCAGGTCAATACTTGGAGACAAACTGACTTTTCTGTAAGTTGCATTATATTCCATGAGTAGATAAACCCTTGTGTCATTTATACATAAATACCCTATTATAACCTATTATAATACAACTTGCATTTTTCATTCAACACTTTAAGATCTACCCATGTGGACATGTGAGGGAATCTCAAAGTTTGTGGTAGCATCAGACATTTAGTATACCAATGAAGATGTTAGTATCCCACGTCAGTGTACAGGGGTTCAGCTCCTGACTCTAGCTTTCTGCTAATGTGAACCCTGGGAAAAGTGATGACGGTTCAAGTAATTGTCCTGCCTTCCATGTGGCAGGCCTGGATAGTGTTTCCTGCTCCTGGCTTAGGCTCTGGCCCAGCTCCAGCTGTTGTGGCATTTGGTTGTCTGTCTCTCAAATAAACACAAATTAAAAAAAAAAATTGTGGAAATTTAATTAAAAGTTGAATTTATTTTGGTATAAAAATTTTGAAATCCATGCATTTGACAGGTATTCAAAAAGTTTGTGGAAAATGCATATTATGAAAAAACTATGCATGAATTTCAAAATATTTTTGCTCCAAAATAAATTTTAATTCTATTTTCCATAAACTGTTTGAATATTCTCATATAGAGAACTGTTTTAAATTTTCTGTGGTGTTCCATTGTCTAAATGTCACTTTAATACATTCTTTTATCCACTGACCATTTCTTCTCAATTCTGTGAATTGCTTGTTCATCTCCTTCGCCCTCATTTTTTATTGGGTCATTTAATCTTTCATTTCTAGTGCTTTTTTCCATAATTTACACGTTGACTGTTTACTAGACAGGTTACAAATAGTTTTTTGGTCTGCTTAGCTTTTTTTTAAAAAAAAAAAAATTTATTTATTTATTTGAAAGTCAGACCTTTCTCTCTCTCTCTCTCTCTCACTGTCCACTCTGTCAAAAAAAAAAAAAAAAGTCAGAGTTACACAGAGAGAGAAGAGGCAGAGAGAGAGAGAGAGAAAGTCTTCCATCCGATGGTTCACTCCCCAGTTAGCCGCAACAGCCGGAGCTGTGCCAATCCAAAGCCAGGAGCTTCCTTTGGGGTCTCCCACGTGGGTGCAGGGCTTAGGGACTTGAGCCATCTTCTACTGCTTTCCCAGGCCATAGCAGAGAGTTGGATCAGAAGTGGAGCAGCTGGATCTTGAACTGATGCCCATATGGGATGCCGGCGCTTCGGGCCAGGGCGTTAACCCGCTGAGCCACAGCACCGGCCCTGGTCTGCTTAGTTTTGTGTTTTTTTTTTTTTTTTTTTTTTTTTGACAGGCAGAATGGACAGTGAGAGAGAGAGACAGAGAGAAAGGTCTTCCTTTTGCCGTTGGTTCACCCTCCAATGGCCGCCGTGGCCGGTGCACTGCGGCCAGCGCACCGCGCTGATCCGATGGCAGGAGCCAGGCACTTATCCTGGTCTCCCATGGGGTGCAGGGCCCAAGCACTTGGGCCATCCTCCACTGCACTCCCTGGCCACAGCAGAGAGCTGGCCTGGAAGAGGGGCAACCGGGACAGAATCCGGTGCCCCGACCGGGACTAGAACCCGCGGTGCCGGCGCCGCAGGAGGAGGATTAGCCTAGTGAGCCGCGGCGCCAGCTACGGTTAGATTTTTAGTTTATCAGAATATAATTTATTGTGGCATAAGTTAATGACCTATCAATGTTTTCCCGGGATGGAAAGATCAACTGTGACAATACCACATCTGAAGGTCTCTGTGTTGGAGCGGCTGAACAAAATACCACAAACTCGGAGGCTTAAAACAACAGAAACTTCTTCCCGCACGGTCTGGAAGCCGGGCCTGAAACCAAGGCGTTGGCAGAGCCTGCCCTCCCTCAGGGCTCCTGCGGAGAATCTCTGCATGCCTTCGAGGAGAGGGACCGCGGCATCCTTGGTGCTCCTGGGCCTGTAACTGCATAATCCAACCACTCCTCCACTGTCACGTGGCTGTGTGACTTTCCTGATGTGGGCATAAGCCAGGCTGGTTCAATGCCCTTACCCTACTCCATGACCTCATCTTGATCAATTAGCCCTATGGGGGCCAATGTCGTGGCACAATGGGTTAAGCTGCCACCTGCCCATGTGAGCACCAATTTGAGTGCCAGCTGCTCCATTCCCAATCCAGCTCCCTGCTAATGCACCTGGGAAAGCAGAAGATGGCCCAAATGCCTAGTCCCCTGACCCACGCGGACACCTGGAAAACATATCAGGCTCCTGGCTTCGGCCTGGCCCAAACCCCACCATTGAGGCCATCTGGCAAGTGAACCAGTGAATAGAAGATCTCTCTCTACCTTTCAAATAAGTAAGTAAATATATAAATTTTTTAAAAAGTGAGACTTAAAAAAATTTACTTCTGCAACAACCCTGTTGCCAAATAAGTTCACAATCTGAAGTTCCAGCAAGGCCATGAGTTGGGGTGGGGGGAGGGGGAACAGAACTATGCAACTCAGGACATTCTCTGCATCTGTGTTCTGTGTTGTTTCTCCTGCTCTCTTTGTCTACCCCTGCACAAAACAGTACTGCATCTACTCTATAGACTGACAGTGTTATCTGGTAGGAAAATTCTCCCTTAGTTCTTTTTTCTGAATCATATTTCTGTTTTTACTTTTACAGTAGTCCTCCATTAACTGGTTTTGTTTCCCATGGTTAGGGTTACCCGTGGTTAACTAGTCTGAAAATATGAAATGGACAACTCCAGAATTTGTTTTAAACTGCATGAGGTTCTGAGTAGCATGATGAAACTTCATGCCATCCTACTGTGTCCCACCCCAGACAGGCACCATTCTTTGGTCCAGGGAATCCTCACTGTATATGCTACCTGCCTCTCAGTCACTCAGTCGCCTTTTTGTTTATAAAGTCAACTGTCCCAACACTGCAGCGCTTGTGGTCAAGTAACTTTGTCTTACTAACAATGGTCCAAAGCACTAGAGTGGTAATGCTGTCACTTCGGATTTGGCAAAGAGAAGCTGTAATGTGAAAGAAAATTCATCTGATAAAAAATTTGTCCTGCTGACATCGCTAAGACCTACAATAACAATGAATCGTCTGTGAATTTGTGAGCAGGAGAAAGAAATCTGTGTAGGGTTGTTATCCTACCTCAAAAGTTGTGCCACATTACATGATAAATGCTTAGTTAAGATGAAAAGGGTATTGAATTACAAGGTTCTTACTATTTGCTGTGGATTGCGGGGGGAGGGGCTACTGTAATTTTTTCAAATGAATTTTAGAATCTGTTTAAGCTCACACAAATCATACTGTCACTTGAATTTAATAGCATCTTTACTAGTCCTTCCGTCTATGGCCATGACATATCCCCCATTTATTCACAATTGTCTCTATCAAGGTCCTGCATCTCTTTTGTAGATTCAATCCTGGAACGTTATGTTTTGTGTTGCGATCATACAGGTCATTGTCAAGTTTATGATCTCATTAATTCACTTAGCAAACGTGCCTAATGGAAAGGCGCATAAAGAACACATGAAAATCAGCCACGCCCTCTGAACTCCGGTTTCAACAAACCCTAAACCATCAATCGGCACCCCCAGTTGGGTTTTACGTCCTCTTTCCCTGCACCCTCCCGCGAGCCGCCGAATTCTGACATCCAAGCTCCAGCGCTCAGAGCCTGGGATCTTCGCACCGTGCCAGGACGGACCGCGGCGGCGCGGCCACCCGCCCTCGCATCCGTGCCTTCACCCGTCGGCTCCGCCCGCGGGGTCTCTCCCCGGCCAGCGTCCACGCTCGGCTTTGTTCCGTGGTTCGGCCAAGGACTCCCTTTTGGGCCTAGACCCGACACCCGGCACCCAGGCGACCCCGACTCAGCCCTAGCCCACCCGCCCACGAGGACCCGCAGGATGCGTTCCCCCGACCCGAGCCCCGACACCGCGCGTCCGCGCGCGGCAGCCCGCCTTACCCGAGCCCGCTCGGCCATGGCCCGGCGCTCCCGCCCAGCTCCAGCCCCTCGGTCCGCTGCTCCGCCGACCTCCAGGTCTTCCCCGCAAACCCCGCGCCACCGCGGCGGGGCGCGTGCTGGGTCGCCGCGGTCGGGAGCGCAGGCGCGCCTCCCCACAGCGCCCCCTGCGGGCGGGAGGAGCAGTCGCGGCCACAGCCCACCTGCGGGGGGCGACCCTCGGCTCTCCAGCGAGGCCAACAGGTGCACAACTGGAGAGAAAGGTGAACGTGGCGGGAGAAGCGACAGGAGGGGAGACGCGCTCTTCCTAGACAAAGACTGACAGAGCGGGGTGGTGGTGGTGGGCTGGTTTGTTTCCTTCTCAAAGCAGAATCTGAGACAAGGATGGGGTTCAGGGAGGGTTCGTCTGTGAGGTGACCCCCCAGAACCAAGCAAGGGAGTTAGTCGATGAGCCTGGAAAGAAGGTGATGTAACTGTACCGAAAATATCTTTTATTTTTCTTCTTACTTTTTTTTTTTTTGACAGGCAGAGTGGACAGTGAGAGAGAGACAGAGAGAAAGGTCTTCCTTTGCCGTTGGTTCACCCCACAATGGCCACTGCAGTTGGCGCACCGCGCAAATCCGAAGCCAGGAGCCAGGTGCTTCTCCTGGTCTCCCTTGCGGGTGCAGGGCCCAAGCACTTGGGCCATCCTCCACTGCACTCCCTGGCCACAGCAGAGAGCTGGCCTGGAAGAGGGGCAACCGGGACAGAATCCGGCGCCCCGACTGGGACTAGAACCCGGGATGCCGGCGCCGCAGGTGGAGGATTAGCCTAGTGAGCCACGGCACGGGCCTCTTCTTACTTTCTGATGATCAAAAGCTAACTACTGAACCTACGACTGACTAGAGCATCTGTTCAATTTAACAAATAGCACTTGTTTGAGAATTTCCAGAAGCGGGCCCTGGGGTAGCAAGCTGAAGTCGCAGTGTCTGGCCCTCCTCAGTCGGCATGCGCAGAGGACTGGGTTTGCTGTAATGGGGAGTGTGGGGTACAAATAAGTGAGGACGCAACGAGCAGAGGCTGTAGGCTCAGCGGGCCTCATGCTGGTTGATGAAACACAATCCGTTTTCTCTTTCAGCTTCCAGTCAAATAACGTTTTGCACCTGCGTAGTTGTGCAGACCATCTTGCTGTGACCTCCTCGAATTAAAGCCAAGCAATTTTCTCAAGGATTGCATCGACTTGAGATTGATAAAATACCCTGTTGTCAGACCCACAAGTGTCTTCAGCACACACCCACTCCTGACTTGCCATTAGTCACGTCCTCAACAGCCCACACTCCCCTTTGCACTCCTTAAAAGCCCCCAGACCAGCCGGCTCTGCGGCTCACTAGGCTAATCCTCCGCCTGCGGCGTCAGCACCCTGGGTTCTAGTCCCGCTCGGGGCGCTGGATTCTGTCCTGGTTGCTCCTCTTCCAGTCCAGCAGTGGAGGATGGTCTAAGTGCTGGGGTCCTGCACCCGCATGGGAGACCAGAAGCACCTGGCTCCTGGCTTCGGATCAGCGCGGTGCACCGGTGCAGGTGCACCGGCTGCAGTGGCCATTGGGGGGTGAACCAACGGGAAAAGGAAGACCTTTCTCTCTGTCTCTCTCACTGTCCACTCTGCCTGTCAAAAAAAAAAAAAAAGGCCCCAGACGGCCTTCACTGAACAAGACAATAGTTCTTCAGACCCAAGTCTGCTACCTGTCGCTCCCCTCTTCGTGGAGGAACGACACAGGACCCTGCGCTGTTCTTTTGTCTGCTCGGTCCTCCCCGGGTTTGCTGCTGGTCCTTCCCGGGTTGGCTACCGACCCTTCCACCTCCGTGGAGGGGCGGCTCCCCCTGCCACTTTCCCCACTTCCATGGGGGAGTGGCACACCGCGGGCCGGCTCTCTGGGGGGGCTGCTCAGATGTTATCCGGATGTTCCTGGTGCATGTTGTCTCTCTCCTCCTTTATAGTCCTCTTCCACCAATCCCAACTCGGCTGCCCACACGCCGAGCACACTGCTCTCCTCCAATCAGGAGCAGCTCCTGCAGTTTATTGGTCGAACTGGAGGCAGCTGCATAGAAGCTGTTCACTCCTCTCCCAGCGCCATACTGTGGGAGAGCAGATGCATAGAATAAGTCTTAATTCCAGTAACTTAGTCTAGTCCGAGTTGCTCCCCACAGATCCCCCTTTCTTTTTATTTTTTGGCGTTGATACGCGCCTGTCTTTGGTGCCCCACGTCGCACACTCTGCTCTGCTTGCTAGAGTTGCCCACAGGTGCTTACAAGCCCTACCAATCAGGCAAACCGAATCCGGGTCCTCTTTTCGCCATGTTGTGAGGAGGTTTTTAGGCACTGATGCATGCTTGTGTTCGGTGCCCTGCAGCGCACGCTCTGCTAGAACTGCCTGCAGGTGCTTATCGCCTTACTAATCAGGCAGACCGAATCCAAGCCTTCTCATTGCCGTATTGTGGGGAGACTTATTGGTGTTGATAACGTGTCTGTCTTTGGTGACCTGCAGTGGATATTCTGCTCGAGCTGCCTGCTGGTGCTTATCACCTAATCAGGCAGACCGAATCCAAGTCCTCTCATTGCCATGTTGTGGGGAGGCCTTATTTTTCTCTATTTCTCTATCTCCGGGCATTCCTATTTCTCTTATTTTACTTCTATCTGCCAGCATTCCTATTTCTTTCATTTTACTTCTATACTTCTGTTTCTCTTATCCCTGCGGCTTCCCGGCGCCCGCCCCGAGGCGACTTCTCAGCTCTGCGCAGCTTCAGCCCACGCTTCTCTCATCTGCAGGGCTTCCCGGCTTTGCGCACGCTCGGTGGTCTCCACGCCTTTTCGCACCCGCCCCATGGCCTCCGTGCTAGCCCCGCGCTCCCTATCTACTCGCGCCCAGTGCTCTCTCTCTCCGCTTGTGCCCCACGCGCTTTCTCTGCGCGCGGCGGCTTCTGCGAATCACAGCCTAGCTCACGTTTCTGCTTCTCGGTTTTCAGTCTAAGTTCCCCGGGCTAACCTGACGAATTCCAACCTAGCTTACGTCTCCGCTCCCAGTTTGGCTTCCCGTCTTTTGCTCCCCGGGCTAATCTGACGGATTCCAACCTAGTTTATGTCTCCGCTCCCAGTTTGGCTTCCCGTCTTTTGCTCCCCAGGCTAATCTGACGGATCCCAACCTAGCTTATGTCTCCGCTTCTCAGTTTGGCTTCCCGTCTTTTGCTCCCCGGGCTAATCTGACGGATTCCAACCTAGCTTACGTCTCCGCTTCTGGTTTTAGTTTTTCGCCTTTTGCTCTCCGGGCTGACTTGACGAATCCCAACCTAGCTCACGTCTCTGCTTCGGCCTGCCCCCACGGCTTCACTTTCCCTAGCTTATATCTTTCTCTACCCGGTTCTTTTCCTAAGTTTCTTCCAACAATATTTCTCTCATTTCTCCTGGCTTCTCCCCACAGTTCATATCCGAGTCTAAGTTTCTTCTAGCTTTCACTTTCACTTTCACCCCTAGATTTCTTCCTGCACTTTTTCCGTCCGGCTTTTCCCTAGGCTCTTTGCTAGTCTCCCTCTCCGGTATTTTCCCGCTTCTTCCCTCCTAGGTTTCCTATCCGAGTCACGGCACCGTTATCCCTCCTAGGCTTCATATCCGAGTCACGGCACCATTATGTTGCTCCCCCTCTTCGTGGAGGAACGACACAGGACCCTGCGCTGTTCTTTCATCTGCTGGTCCTTCCCGGGTTGGCTGCTGTCCCTCCACCTCCGTGGAGGGGCGGCTCCCCCTGCCACTTTCCCCACTTCCACGGGGGAGTGGCACACCGCCGGCCGGCTCTCTCGGGGGCTGCTCAGATGTTATCCGGATGTTCCTGGTGCATGTTGTCTCTCTCCTCCTTTATAGTCCTCTCCACCAATCCCAACTCTGCTACCCATACGCCGAGCACACTGCTCTCCTCCAATCAGGAGCAGCTCCTGCAGTTTATTGGTCGAACTGGAGGCAGCTGCATAGAAGCTGTTCACTCCTCTCCCAGCGCCATACTGTGGGAGAGCAGATGCATAGAATAAGTCTTAATTCCAGTAACTTAGTCTAGTCCGAGTTGCTCCCCACACTACCCTCTGCACCCACAAATGGATTACGCTTTTTCTCTCCTTCATCCTCAAACCTTGGCCTCATTCCTCTGATTTAACACCATCGAAAAGGACTGGGCTTCTGGTAGCCAATCTGGTGTTTAGCCAGCCACTGTAGTGGTGGTGTGCACCGTGCTGCGACTTCCCACAGGGGAGTCTGCTGTTAGAGCGGTGAGGGGTCACCCCAAGTGGCTATGAAGCCTCCAGCAGCAGGGGCTCTGTCTTCTAGAAGGGAGAGTGGGGACAGCCCCTATAGCTGCTGGAACTGCTTTGCTTCTAAGGGACTCGTCCCCTCTCCCCCGGTGAGGGCGTGGCCCCCGTGGCTCAAACCTTGAGGAAAAGAAAACAGATTCTGGAAGCCGCAGTAACAGCCTGGCCACCTGGGCAAGTCGCCTGGTGTGCACGCAAAGACTTAATGCCCCATTGCTGGGGGAGGGGCAGTTAGGAATGACTTCCCTGCCCTCCATGGGGCATCTGTGGCACTGTTAATTAACTTCTGTTGGGGTGGGGGAGGGGGGCTGCGAGCTGGGGATTCTGTTCCCTTCTCTTTTGGGTTCTGGTTCTTCTGAACTCCTAACTGAAAAATTTGACTTGGTTCAATAAAATTTACGCCTCATGTGGCCTTGGCGCAATAAAATTTGTGCTTCTTTGGGACTGGCACATTTCTTTTTTTGTTCTGTTTTGTCTTTGAATATGGAGGTACCAGCTCAATATTATCTGAGTCCCCTAAGGAGCATTTTGGCCAGTTGGTCAACTTATAGCTATAAGCCCATGACTGAAAAAAACTGGTAATACTAGGACCTATGTATGTCTTAGATTCTAAAAAATAAGGGAGGAACAGGCATTGCGGCATAGCGGCTAAAGGTATTGTGCTGTGTGAATGCTAACTAGATTTGCTTAGAGATTCACACTGGGGCCCATATGGGATGTAGGCAAACTGCACCACAAAGCCCCCATGTTTGCCATCATAATAAAAAGGACTTGAGGGCTGTAAGCTCTTTAAAAGTGCCCCTCCCCCCCATCACAGGCCCATGTGCCTGAAAGGATTAAAAAAGTTTGTAAACTTTGTTGCAGGGACCAGTGTTGTGGTGTGGTGGGTAAGCTTCTGCCTGTGACACTGGCATCCCATGTGAGTGCCAGTTCAAGCTCCAGAAGCTCAACTTCTGATCCAGCTCCCTGCTAATGGCCTGGGAAAAACAGCAGAAGATAGCCTAAGTGCTTGGGCCCCTGTCACCCACATGGGAGACCTGGAAGAAGGGCTTGACTCCTGGCTTTGTCCTGGCCCAGCCCTGCTATTGTGGCCATCTGGGGAGTGACCCAGTGGATAGAAAATCTCCCCCTCCTCTGTCTCTCTCTCTAACTGTTTCAAAGGCTGTGTGCAATAAAAGTAACTAAATCTCCTTGTTGATTGCTGAACTGTCACCCAAATGTTAACTGTGATTTTTAAAAAAGATTTTACGGCCAGCGCCATGGCTCACTAGGCTAATCCTCCACCTGTGGCACCAGCACTCTGGGTTCTAGTCCCAGTCGGGGCGCCGGATTCTGTTCCGGTTGCTCCTCTTCCAGGCCAGCTCTCTGCTGTGGCCCAGGAAGGCAGTGGAGGATGGCCCAAGTGCTTGGGCCCTGCACCTGCATGGGAGACCAGGAGGAAGCACCTGGCTCCTGGCTTCGGATCGGCGCAGCATGCCAGCTGTAGCGCCCATTAGCGGAGTGAACAAATGGAAAAGGAAGACCTTTCTCTCTGTCTCTCTCACTGTCTAACTCTGCCTGTCAAAAAAAAAAAAAAAAAGATTTTATTTATTTAGGCACTTGAAAGGCAGAGCGTATTTTAATAACACAAAAAACAGCTCATACTCATATTCAGTCTCATCTTCACATTGTTAAAAAGCACTGGCATTTGAATGATGGCGAAACAAAGTTGTTGTAATACCCAGTTAAGGTTATGACCCTCCTTGAAAATGGAGCAGGCACCTGAGCAGAACCACTGAGATTAGTGTCCTGAGAGCT